ATGGGGAAAAAATAAGAACCAAGATGCATTATGTAAAGGTACAATTCCCAGTGAGAAATGTAATTGTGTTGTATACCTACAAAGTACCAATAAAATAATTTAATACAAAAAAAAGAAAATACTTGAGGTTCGATGAGATCACCACATACGCTTAGCATATTTTAAATGCACTTACCTATTAGATACAATTATTTAATTGTGAAATTAATGCTCACAAAAATATTCTAATATCAAACATGAGTACACCTTGAGAAAACAATGCATAACTCCCTCTTGTCAAGGTTTTATCATTATGTTAGGTGGACAGATTAATTGGTTACATGTTAAATAGAGTAATATGAGTGAATGACACAGGTAGCAGGATTTTTTTGACATGAAATTTTTAGATAACAGAAAATAAGATTTTACTTTATTTCCTACCTTCATAAATACAACCTTTTTTCAATTAAAGATATTTGTAGCCTAAGGAACAAAGTGAAGTCTGACGGAGATCCTCTTAGGGTACACTGAAAGGACTAGTTTTAATCAAGAGAAAACTTAAATTTGCAGTCATTAACAGTAGTAAAATATTTAAAATATTTAAAATATTTAATTTTTCTTCATATCTATGGCATTTGAAAAGTATTTTATTGAGGTAAAATTCACAAAACAAAATCATCTTACAGTGTAAGTTCAGTGACATTTAGACCTTTCACAGTGCTGTACAACCATTTGTCTAGTTCCAGAATATTTTCATCACTGTGCATGTTAAGAGTTATCTTTGTTAATAATAATTTTCCTATCCATTGATTCAGTTACTCTCATAGAAAACTAAAATGACATAATAAATGATTCAATTGCGCTTGTGCCCAGGACTAAGAAGGAAAACGTTCTAGTGGTGAAGTTTAATGCAAACCATAAAATGTGTTACAGAGATGATTTATTCCCACAGCATTTCCATGGGGTTGAGTAAATCTCTAAGTAACTCTAAGGTTATTTCCCCCTGGGTCTTTAGCCATAATTACTTATGCTATGTGAGTAACTCTACCAGTGCTCTCGTGAGTGGCTGTTACAAATGGACATGTATAAAGTCTTGTAGACTGCTTGTGTGTAAATTGTAGGATGAATAACAGAAAAGGAAAGATGACAACATTTAAAGACAGCTGTTATTTAACATGGCTTTCTTGAACTTGTAAAGGGAATTTAGCAAAAAAAGAATGTGTCATATGAACAATAGTTCTCTTTCCTTTCAGCTCTCCTTGAAGCCCAAGATGTGGAACTTTACCTGAGACCTCTGAGGAGACACATTCAGTGTCTCCAGGAGACAGAATTCCCACACACCTGTGCATTAATTGCCCCATTGTTTCATACCATCTGCCTTATTTGGAGTCATTCCAAGTGTTACAACACTCCTGCTCGGGTGATAGTCTTGTTGCAAGAATTTTGCAATCTCTTCATTGACCAGGTATGAAGAATTAAAAAGTAGAAACAATAAAAATCATTGCCACGAGGTATGTTTTTTAAGACCAGAAAGGATAAATCCAAATTACAGTAAGAAATGCCTTTTCCCCTTCTGTTTTCAGAAAGGACTTTTGTGGTAACAAAGGCCATGTGACTTTTTATCCTAAATGGTAAGGGAGCTCTAGAAATCAGTCAGCTACAGTCAAAGAAAAAATTATTGATGAGTTTTACTTAACATCCTACCTTTCTTCAAAGTGATGTAAAGCATCTTCTAATAAAAGGTCATTATGCATAGTACCTTCTTTGTAGCCTTCCCTTTGGTTTCCACGTGAACATTGGCTGATGGAAGACTTTGGAAAGCAAGTTAAGAGGATCTGCCCCCATGCCCCAGAATGATCTCCCAAAACAGTCATAGAATTGTATTGAAAGAATTCTGATTTGTTGTTGATTTTAAAAAATCTTTTATAATTGTTTCTCTACATATTACATTTAAAATATATGTTTTTTACAAGTTGGACCATTTCTTGTTGCTTCTTTGTCCTTTCTGTGTGAACTTTCTTTATTATATCCACAGTGTCAGAGAACATTACATAATTTGAAAGCTGAAAGATGCTTGGATGCCCCATGATCCAGTGATTTATAGTTGGGAATGTGCTTAAATTTGCTTGAGCTATTGTAATTAAATACTATACATTCAGTTCCTTAACATAAATTTATTTTCTCACAGTTCTGCGGGCTGGAAGTCTGTGGTCATGGTGAGAGCCCGGTCACATTCTGTTGAGGGCCTTCTTCCTGGTTTGCAGGGAGCCAGCCACCTCCACTTGGCTGTCTTCCCCTTCTTAGAAAGCCACAGTCCTATTGGACAAAGGCCTTAGCGTTACAACCTCATTTAACCTTCAATACCCTTTAAAGGCCCTATGTTCAGATGGAGTCTTGTGGGAGTCAGGCCTTTAACATGAATTTGGGGAAAACATACTTTAGATATTTTTCAGATGAGTTAACAGACTTGGAAGATGTCATTTGTTGAAATTCCCTGAGAAGTTAGGGGAAAACTAGAGTAGGAGAGAGCTGCAGGCTTGCAGTTGAGACTTCCCAGAGTCTCATTATATTAAGTCTTAGGTGCTTTGTTTGTGTGTGTGTGTGTGTGTGTGTGTGTGTGTTTTCTACTTCTCTGCTTCTGAAATGGTGGAGTAGTGTGTGGGAAAGGTTTTGGATTCACCAGCCTGGCTTTTAATCTAATCAAACCACTTCAGAGAAGTTTAATTGCTTCTTGGAGCCTCAGTTTCCCTTTGGCAGTGGGGACATTGTCTGGTCCATGGCTATAGTGAGGACCAGAAGAGGAAATAGTGAAATGCTCAGCATGCTGTCTAGTATTTAACAGAAACTCAGTAAAAGTTTCATTTTGTTCTCTTGCTATATTTACAAGCTAAGTGTGGCTACTGATAGAAGTTGATGACAGTTTAATTCCTTGATATATTTTATTACCATCTCCTCTGGTTTGTTTTTGTTCTGTTGTCAAAATTAGTTTTGCTGTATTATTAAGCAAGTGCCCTGGGCCCTAATGGCTGAGATCTGCATGTGAAACTCAACAATGTTTGTTTCAGGGCCAACAAATACAACGACCACTGTCTTAGTTACTTTTGTTTTTTTTGTTGTTTTTTTTTGTTTTTGCATTTTTTCTTTTTTTTTTTTTTCACTGCATTAAATTCTTTTATTGGTACATTGTAGGTATACAACACAATTACATTTCTCACTGGGAATTGTACCTTTACATAATGCATCTTGGTTCTTATTTTTTCCCCATTCCTAGCCCTCCCTTCACCCCCTCCACCCTTCCCTATTTACAAAGACTTTATTTCCATTTTTTCCATTTCTCAGCATTTTTCCTTTCCCTTCTTTCCTTTCCCCTGCCCCTCCCACTACCCCTACTCCTTTGGACCTTTTCTTCCTATTTTGCATTATCGATTATTCATTCTAATCATTGGTACATTTTAGGTATACAATATAATGGCATTCATCATTGGAAATTTGCACCTTTACATAGTCTCTCTTGGTTCTTATTTTTCACCCTTGCCCAGGCCTCCCTTCAACCCCTCCAGTCCTCCCTATTTACAAAGATTTTGTTCCTATTTTTCCATTTTCTCATATTAATCCCATTCCCTTCTATCCTTTCCCCTAGCCCTCCCACTTCCTTCCCCTTTGCCCCTTTTCTTCCTATTTCACATTACCTATTATACATTTAGGCCTTCTTTACACTTTCAGTTTTTCACACCAGAGAAACTATTCGGTATTTATCCATGTGTGTCCTATTTATTTCACTTAAGAGTATTGCTTCAATGTGCATCCACTTAGCTATTAAAAGAATCATACCACAGTGATATATGTGCACCCATGTTCATAGCAGCACAGTTTGTGATAGCTAAAACTTGGAAACAGCCCAAATGCCTATCACCTGGAGACTGGATAAAGAAAATGTGTTTTTTTAATAAAATGGAGTACTACTCAGCCATAAAAAATGAGAAATTAGTTACTTTTCTTTATTGGTGAGACAAAATACCTGACACCTACAAGTTAAAGGAGGAAAGGTTTATTTTGGCTCACAGTTTGTAGAGGTTTCAGTTCACAGTTGGCTGGCTCCAAGGCAGGGTAGCATGGCAGAGGAGCATCACAGAGGTGAAACAGCTCATGGTGGGCAGAAGGTAGGAAGGCAGCAAAGCAACAAAGTAGCAAGGAAGCAGTAGCAGCAGCAGCCTGCCTCTTCCAGGCTACCCACGCCTTATGCATGGTATCTTCCTTACACACAGTGGACCTTCCCATTATCCACATCCAGAATTATGCCAAACCAATCAGTGGCCTAAATTAGTAACCACACACCCTTAATCCCAGCATTACTGTTTAATCCAAGCATCACACACTTAATCCCAGCATCATACACCCTAGATCCAGCCACCTCTGAAAAGACCCACTTATGATTATATGAGGTTTGGGGGAACATTTAGACACAAGCCATAACAACCACTTTCCCCAAGTTCCTTTTAAGGAACACTCCTCTCTCTTTAAGAGTTATCAAAACTCTTTCACTGCAATGTTCCATTAATTTGCAAACTCCAGAGGTGGATTTTCATTGTTACAGGTAATTTGTAAACTCGTTATCCTAGCCCCTAGTCTGTGTCAATAGCCAGTTTGTCAAGCTCTGAGGAAATGCTGTAACTTCTTTTTCATTAGTTCTGGCTTTTGTCCAAATTCCCACTGACCTGATTTCCATGAGTCTCCAAGCAGCAATCCTGGTCTTAGTAGTACATGTGCTCTAACATGCTAGTAATCAAAAATCAGCAATAAGCCAACTTTCATACCTGGGTTTCCTGAAGAGCTAAACTTCCCCTTTACTCCTCAGTTGCTTGCAGACTATTTTATATATTTAACAAACACCATACAGTACTTAGCCTTTTGCCAGGAACTTTTAAAAACTTTTGATAAGGTATTAAATATTAAATCCTCATTGCAAGATTACAACATAGGCATTATTATTACCACAGTTCTATTTTATAACTAAAAAACTGAAGCTCAGGGAAGATAACTTTCCCAAGGTTACCTAGCTGTAATATGTGATGGTTTTCTTGCCTATTATGATTCACATTTTAGCATAAGTTTTTATTTTAAATTGAAACATGGTGTACTGATGATAAGTGTAAAATATTCTTCTTGTATAACATTTGTAAGAATTGAAATAGTCCTGGAGCTGTAGCATCCTACAACTCAGCATTTTAAAAAGTTTTTCCTTTCCCCAAAACCTATCCATATTTATATACTTTATCATATATACAAATTTACCAGTTTCTTGAAAAATGATATTGTCACTGTTGGATATTTCAGATTATTTTTAGTCTCCTCTTTTATAAATAACATGCAGAAAAAAACTATCAAAACCCCAAAAAATTGCTTGGATAATTGGCTTAATATTAATTCCTGATCTTGAGCAAAGGGATTGATCTTTTCATGGCTCATCATCAATGTTTAATATTTACAGATTTTTTTTAAAAGGTTATGTCAACTACATTGGTATTATCAATGTGTAAAACATCTTATGACCTGCCACATATGCTGGCATTCTATTAGTTGCATTTGGTCCATAGATCAATGTAGTATTTTTATTTTGCATTTTTTTAATTGAAAAAATTGTTGCTGAAACTTAAATTGGATGGATTCCGTTTAAAATATGCAGTCCATGTAATCTATACATGTCATCTCACATACTTGAAATCATCTGTAGATTACTTACAGTGCCTAGGACAATGTAAATGCTATGTAAATATTTGTTGTACTATGTAAATAGTTGCTGGGAGTGATGACAAGAAAGTCCAAACATGTTTAGTACAAATACCATTTTTTTTCCATGGTTGGTTGAATTTATGAATGCAGAAGCCACGGATGCAAAAGGCTGGCTATATTTTAGCTGCTAAGACTTCTGATTTGGGACCATTTCATCCTAAATATAGTGACCTTTTATTTGTTCTGATGCCATTAAGTGTAAGGTAATAGAACTGAATGGGACATGTGTAGAAGATAGAAAGGCATTCAGAGTTCATATACCAAAAGAGATCTTGAAGGTCGTCTGATTTAACTCCCTCATTTTGCAGTTAAAGAAAGGTCCATGAGACAACTTGTCGAATATTGCAAAAGCCATCTGTGCCCCTGGCTTTATCACAGCCGGGTCACCTGACTCATGTGCTTCTTTTTCCCTCACATTCTCCGCTGCCCAGGGCCAGGATATAGATTAGGCTTTGTCACCTAGGATATTAAGTGCTATAACCTTGTTTTAGGAGGTCTTACTCAGAAGTGGGCTATGTAAACAGAATGTTAACAAGATGAAATTGTTTCATCTATGTGGGTCTAGCCAAAGAGCACAGAAAAGAATGTAGGTAATTTTGTAACAGTAGGCTGCTGATGTGGGAAAGGAAATGAGTTTTTCCATTCAGCTTCCTGAAAAATTACAGAATATGTGTACATGAAGGTATATGGAATATACCATGCACCATATCAAAGTGTAACTGTTTTCAAGTTCACTCTGTGACAAGATGACTGGTAGTTCTTTCCCCTGTTCTGTGTGAAATGTCAGCAGACTTCATGTAGATACTAATTTTTTCATCCAGCCTGGGTGGAAAATAACACAAAATTAACAGGTAGCTAGAATTTGAAAGACTCTCACTAAGTAGGGATTTTAGACATTAAATGAAGTATTTGCTTGCTACTTTGTAAATTCATGGCACAAAGTCTGTATTGCATGTACAACTGTTGGATTGATGGGAGATGGGGCATCATATGTCTACATGAGAAAAAAAGGCTTTATCTGCTGTGTGGAACTCAATGGCTTTCTTTTCACTTTTCATTGAGACCTTGAACAGCATTTTAGGCAGTCACAAAATCAAAGGCTCAAAATTTAAACCTATAATTATGTGAGGTTAAGATGCGTTAGAAAGTATGCAAAAGAACCTTTGGAATGCATAGACTCTTGAGGTTCTTGAGAGGAATTATGAATATTCATAACAAATAACATGAGTAGAAAATTGAGAGGGACCTAGATGATGGTCCTGTGAGTATTTGAGCAGTAATCCATGTATGTGGCATGTCTCAGGCATCACTGTCGGTCCTACAATACTGCTTAAGTTCCCAGAAAAGAAGTTTGCTGACTTAAAAGAATGTCCAGTGATATTACCCACCTAGTCAGCTCTTTCTCATCTTTAAAAGGGCCATAATTTAAAAACCCATGCTTAAACCCATGTGTAAAAATCCATATTTCCCCTCCTGGCTTGTATCATTCTTTACATGAAAAAATGATTGTCCAGAATATGTGCCAGTAGTAACACCTATGCAAATTTAGATTACACAGTTGTTAATATGAAGCCTAGCAAAAATTCAGTTATTGCTAGAATGTATGTGTCCAGAAATGATGGGGTCCCTGGTGTTTATCCTAACTGACAAAAGTGTGTCATTGAAACCCACAATTCTGGTTTCTAGAATTTGTGCATTCTATCTCACAACATTGATGACCCAATTCTAGACATTGCCATTTAAGACTGACTAATTTTGCCAGAGGATTACAGTATAAATAAAACTATTAAGCATAATTTTGATCATTGTTTCATTTTCATTAAATCCAAGGCAATGGCTTACCTTTCCCCTGAGGACCTTTTAAAAGGAGAAATTGAAGACTCACTGGAGAAGGTGCAGGTGGCCACTAACATCTTAAAGACTTTCAAAAATTCTTTTGTCTGCTATAAAAGAGGATTGGCAAGCTATTTCACAGGAAACAAGGAGCTGAGACCCTGGGATTTTCAGTCTCATTTGGTGTTTTGCAGATTTGACAACTTTCTTGACCGTTTAATGAAAATAGAGGTACTCATTTATCGAGTGTACTTTTTCACATTGTGGGTGAAATCGAAAGCCTGTTGCTTTTCACACAATCCTGAAATAGTTTATTCCATGTGACAGTGAGGGGAGATCTCCTTTCTTAGTGACAACCTCATGAAGTCAGTGCTGTAAGGGTAAAAGAATGACTTTTCACGCTTTAATGTGCTTTCTTTTAAAATTCATTTTTGATTTATTACAGTAAGTATAAGTCAGTTTCTTTACTAGTGCCATGGGTTATAATTTACTAATCTCCTGGAAGAATGTTGTGAATCAGGAAGCTGTAAAGGAATCTTTTTTCCCTTTATATGTTTGAAGGGACAACATAGAAAACATACTTGAAATTAAGATTTTTGTAATCCCAAAACATCCACTTAATAATTTAAAATACCACACCATCTTTTAGTATATAGTTACTACATATGTATGTAGTACAATACATATAGTATGTAAATATTACTGTATACTACAAAATATTAAAATCATAAAGCTAAAAAGAACATGGAAGTATATGTTCTGTATAACTTTTTAAATGCCTAAAAACTAAAAAGTTGAGTACATAAACTCATATGGAACCTGCTGACTAAGCTTATTTTATTTATTTATTTATTTGGTAATGGGAATCAAACTCTGGACCTTGCGCTTGTGAGGCAGGCAGCAGAACCACTGAGCTAAATCCCAGGCCCTAGGCTTATTTTAAAAATACGTAGTTTGAACTGATGACACTGCCTTATTTTCTTTTTAAAGCTCTCTATCAGTTTTATACTTTACTTTTATACAAGATTTATTGAATTGCATTCGAAATCCGAGATGTTTTGAAAACTCTCCTTGTCACTTAACCAGCCCGACTGTCTCTTACATACTGGGACTGAGGGCTATTTGCACCTCCTTTCCTAGCAATCTCTCCAGCTCCCTTCCCGTAAAGGAGCTGACTCACTGCAGTGTGGGTGGCTGAAAACACCAGTTCTGGCTATTACCTGGGGATCTGACTTAGGATTGAAGGATTTGAATTAGAGAAGTCACGTGTCTATGTAATTTAGAGGTTGCCTGTGTGAGACACTTTCCAATAAATATGAAAATGGGAGTGTGATTTTTAAAATTAGCAATTGCTTTGTTCAGTTAAATTGGTGATACTTATTTTCGGTCAGGTGAGTGTCCACTGACTCACTGATCACAAATGTTGGGAAGTGTTCTTTATTTGAAACTTTTACTGTGTTTTTACACAGGATATATTTGTCACCATGCTGGAATTTGAAAAGCTGGAAAGACTAGAATTTGGTGGTACCAAGGGAGCAATTTTAAATGAACAAATCCACGAGATGAGTGAAGAATTTATGGATCTCTGTAACATTTTTAAACAGAGCACTTATGACCCATCTGCTTATGACAACATGGTAATACTGTACCTTTGAACTTTCATTTCATAGGATCCTATAATTTTAAAGCTGGAAAGGATGGTAGGTCACAGTGTTAATAGGTATCATCCAGTCCAGCTGTACGAGTAAAGGACTTGCCTGAAATCTTTTACCTGTTTGCCTGTTGGTAGATCAGGGACCAGGAGTTAGGCCTTTGCATTTTTACTTCAGACCTGTTTCCAGTAAAAGTGGACCTCAGTCTGGATTTGTTTCTTGTTCATATTTAAAAAGAGCTTTCCATAGTATTAACTCATTTTGGTCTAATTACTTGATATTCTTGTAACTTACAGATTTTATTTTAGGCTTTTTTCTGAATCACTAGATTTGTTTTTGGTCTGTTTAAACCACTAGTTTCATCCTGTTCATTAATTTGTTACTAACGTGTATGTTGTCTATCATCATTTTCATTATTTAGTGGTATTTGTAATTTCATATTTTTAATCTCAGGAAATAGGAGGAAACATTCAGATTGGAACTGCTTCTGTTTTCTGTCAATTCTAGCATGTCAGTAACCAGGGAGTTACCTATGAGCATCCCTGCAGCTCTGTGGTAAAAATAGCTTCGTTTTGGTGGTTTGCCAAAAGCAGTGAAGCTCAAGTACAGAAAGATGAAAATTTAATTCAGCTTTTTTTGTTTGATTATAGAATGTGAATTTATTCACTACCATGGTTATATTTGGCTGTATAATTGAGTCTTTGAAATGCACAAGTGCAACATGTTACCTTTATAAGGATGTAGTTAGCAAATTTAATGCCTCTGAATTAGAGTAAGTTTTGTGAAGTGCAGTTAATAGTACGTGGACATTGCCCTGGTCAGTGACTCCCTGCTAAGCTGGTACCCTATAATTTGTGTAAAAATAGGAGGAACCCAGTAACAAATATTCTGAGCTCATTTTGAGAGCCAGGTATGATGTCTAACTCTTGGAAGGCTTTCTTTCAATAGTGGGACTCTTGGAGGAGCGAGTGGCCCAGCCTGTCTGCATGAACTAGTAGTGAAGGACTGGGAGATCAGGCATGCACAAAGACCTCAGGAACATTTGGGGTCCAGGGGAGCCTAGATTTCCTCACAATTACAAAGCCTTGCAAGTTTTCAGTTTTACTGATGTCACCTTCTAGGCCAGTGATGGTGAACCTTTTAGAGCTTTCAGTGATAACAAACAGCCCACTGTGGCACTGTTGCCACCAGTCTAGGTGATGCTAAAGGTCTTGATTTCTTCTTGTCTGCCTGCCCAGTTACAAACATGAGGTAGTAAAAAATTCATTTATTCTGAAGCCAGGCATGGTGGTGCATGCCTATAATCCCAGCACTTAGGAGGCTGAGGAAGAAGGATCCCCATGAGTTTGAGGCTAACTAGACTACGTATTGAGACCCTGTCTCAAAAAAAGAAACAGAAAAGAAAGAAAATTCACTTGTTCTAGACATATTTATCTGCTTGGTATTTGTATTTTAGAAGCCTATTTTACTTTTTAAATAAGGTAGGCAAAGCCTGTGATCTGTGTTCTGGGTTGGAGACATTAATAAGATTCCCTTAAAGTTCCCCTTTATCCTCCTATCTGATTATTTTGCTTTAGGGCAGAATTAAGAAACTCCTTAACTTTGGTAATTCCTTGAAATTAACATATGAATTAACTAAAATTTCATTTACTCATTATTCTTATGTTGAAGACGTTTATTTTTGTTTTTGTTTTTTATAAGTGTCCTGGGAATCGTTCTTTTCTCAAAATATTGCATCTATTTCAGTTTTTGCTTAATCTATTCATTTTGGTATTGCTTAGCTGAGTACACTGATTTTTGTCATGAAAGCAGCTGGTAATTGTTATATGCATACATATATACACATATGAAGGCATGCCCACTCCCATGACCTCCCCAACAACTGCATATACCCTCATGTGTTCCCCCAGTCTCCTCTGCCTTTATACTCAGCTTACATAACAGGTAAGTGTATTGTAGTTGATCATCCGGCACTTTGGTATAGAAATGATTTAAATATACTCCAGTAAATTAAAGAAAGGATCACTAGTAATTTGCTTTTCAAAACACCATTTTCTCTTTTTATTAATCTCAAGCCTGTTAATCAGGCTTTTGTCTTAATTGTATGACAGAAAGTCTGCCACTCTGCTGGTCCTTGTACGGAATGTGAAGATTTTCTCGGTTGTATCAGTAAAAATGTTTTGGGCATCTTAGTTGTTAATATTGACTGAAAAATGTAGGTATTTCCTTTGACTTCTCCCTAAGGTACTATGTGAGAGCTGGAAAATCATGGGAAGAGACTTATTTTCTTCATTGTTTATGTTTAACAGCTAGTCTGAATGGAGTTCTGGTCTCCTGGTATTCTGTGCTGTCATTTAATTCAATACAGCTTCATAGATGTAAGATGTTGTTCAGAAGTATTATATGTTCAGAGATGGAGCTTTTGGAAGGCAATTGGATCATGGGAGTGTGATACTTATCAGTGGATTAATTTATTGCTGAGTTACTACCTGAATGTGCTGATAGAAGCTGAAAGAAGTGAGTCACAGAGCTTGTGATCTAGAAGAGTGTATTCTTGTCCCTGGCTCCTCCTTTTTCTCTCTGGCTCCTGTCGGCCATGAGTTGAGCAGATTTCCTCTATGATGTCCTTCTACCATGCTGTTTCTTTCCTGGAGCCAGCAGACTACATGAACTGAACACTCTAAAACTGTAAGCCAAAATAAACTTCTCCTTTATGTTAAAATGTTGAGTATTTTGTCCCAGCAATGGGAATGTGACTAATACAGAAAATTGGTGGAGAAGTAGAGCTATTGCTGTGACTGTACCTAATCATGTGGTTTAGAAGTGTTTAGAACTGGTTTTTGGAAAGAGTTTGGAAAGCTTTGTAGATGTGAGCCCTAGAATACTGTGAGCAGAGTGTGACAGGTGACTCTTGTTGGAGCTCAGAATCGTAGAATACTGATAGGAACATGAGCAGTAAAGGTCAGGCTTAGGAGGTTTCAGTTGGGAATGAGGACTATATTGGAAACTGGATTAGAAATAGTGCATGTTTCATTTTGCCAAAGAATTTGTCTATATATTGTACGTGTCTAAGACTTTGTGTGATGCTGAATTCAAAGATGGCAGACTAATCTGATAGAAAAAACTTCAAGGCAGCCCAGTATTCAGGCTGGGGCATGGGTGCTGTAGCTGCTTTTAGCCAGATGTATATGACAATCAGGAGCAAAAAACGGAACTCAATGATTAGAAAATTTTGCAATTTGACAAAAATGGAAGCCTGTATAAAGTAGGGACCAAAGAAAGTGTGGTTGCTAAAAACATTAGTGCCATTATAGCATCAGCCATGTGGTGCTGGCTTTTCAAACATGTAAAATGCAAGAGTTATGAGGTCACAGATGTTTCCACAAAGATTTCAGAAGAAGCATGTGGAGAGGCCAGGCCAAAATTTGTAACAGGGGTGCATAATGTTTGCCAGGAAGGTGATTCATGAAGCTGTGAGAGTAAAGTCAAAGGTGCAGTGGACACCTGAAGATGTTGGAAAGGCCAAGAATATAGAGACCTGCTAAGGAAAGCCACCAGCAGTGAGAAGAATTACCTGAAGATAGAAGCAAAGTCATAAGGGTAGAGCTGCCCAAGCCCTTTGGTGCTCACACTCACCATACTCTGCCATTGGTGCTGGACATGGAGACACAGGATTTAGTGTCTGCCCTACTATGTTTTTGCTCTTGTTTTGGTGTAATGCCTTCTGTTGTCCTATTCCTTCCTTTTGGAATGGGACTATTTATTCTGTCCTTGTATGTTGGAGGTATTTATTTAATTTATTTATTTATATATATTTTTTTGCAGGGCCTCAGAGCTAATAATTTTCCCTGAGTCTCAGCAGAGACTGTGGACTTGGACTTCACAGCAATGCTGAAACTGTTAAGAATTTAGACAATTCTTAGAGATTGACTAAATGCACTTTACATAATGAAATGGATGTGAACCTTTTGGGCATACAGTGCTATCATTTAGATCTAAGATGTACCCCCCAAGGTCTCATGTGTTCAGTGGTGGAGCTTTTGGAAGGCAGTTGTATCATGGGGACACTACAATCACTGTTGAATTAATCCATTGTTGAGTCCATAGCTGAATATGCTGTTAGGAAGCAGCACCTGGTTGGAGGTGTTACTGGGGCTGTGACCTGGATAGGTGTATTCTTGTCCCTGACTCCTCCCTTCTCTCTGTCTACATTTTGTTTGCTACACATTGAACAGTTTTTCTCCCCCATGCCTTTCTGCCATGCCATTACTACCTTAGAGTCTGCAAAGGATGGACTGAACCCTATGATGCTTTGAGCCAATATAAACTCCTTTAAATTTCAGGTGTATGGTATTTTGTCCCAGCAATGGGAAAATGACTAATACATCAGATAACTAAGCAAGAATGATAATTGTTCTATAATATAACCCATTGGTTCCATTTTATCTTTCTTAATCAGAGAAAATTCTTAAGAGCACCAAGAATTGTACCAGAAACTTTGCACACATTCCTGCTGAATTTTCAGTGTGACCTGAGAGTGGCCTCCTAGGAAAATGACAAATTAAATAAATTACCTGAAATTACACAGTTTCCAAATGGAGGAACAGAGATTCAAATCTTGAGCTCTCATCCCTAACTTCGCATTGTGTTCTCAGTATTTATTTACTGCTTTGGATCCTCATTGAAGTGAAAGGAATAAATGTATCTGGGGAATGTACTTGAATATCTAAGACTTTGGTCTGGATGGAATGATCCTGATTACTTTGTTCATTTTCCTACTAGTTTTCATAGGTTGATCTGGGTTCCTAGCTTGCCATTATACCAGGATATAAAATATATCTTAAAAGTAGCTGGGCCGGGGATTTAGCTCAGTGGTTTTGCCACCTGCTGTGTAAGCACAAGGAGTTGAGTTTGATCCCCGGTACCAAAAAAAAAAAAAAAAAAAGTAGCTAGCTAATCTAAACTAGGTTAGAGAGAACAGTATT